GGGTAGAGCTAGGATCCAGAATGACCTGGATAGACTGGAGAAAAGGTCTGCAATCAACCAGATGAAATTAAGCAAGGACAGGGTCAAAGTCCTGCACTTGGGACAATATAATTGCATGTACACATATAGACTGGGAAATAACTGTGTAGGCTACAGTACTTCAGAGGACCTGGGGATTACATGAGACCTTAAGCTGAGTATGAGCCAACAGTGTGTTGTTGCAAAATAAGTCAACACCATACTGGGCTGTATTAACAGGAGTGTCACTAGTAAATCAAAGGAAGTGATTCTTCTGCTCTGTTCAGCACTATTGAGGCCTTACCTGGAGTACTGTGTCCAGTTTGGGGCCCCAACACTTCAAGAATGATGAGGACAGTTTGGAAAGAGTCCAGCACAGAGCAGCAAAACTAATTACGGGCCTGAGAAGCATGATTTATGATGAAAGATTGAAAGAACTAGAGTTATTTAGTCTGGAGAAGAATGGACTGAGGGGAGATCCATAGGCAACACATGAGGAGGACACCAGGGGGCATGTGCCTCCCTCCCCTCCTCCTCCCGAGAGCATTGGTGCCTCCCTTGACAGTGAGCGCTGAAATTGGCTCTGCCAGACTGGTCACCAGCTGGCCACTGGGGGACCACCCCCCCACCCCCTGAGTTGTGCCCTGCTGGTGCTCCCCCAGACTCAGAGGCACCAATTGCCCATGGGGAGATTTGATAACAGTTTTCAAATACCTGAAAGGTGATGACAGAGAGGATGGAGATAAGTTATTCTCTGTAGCTGGAGGGAGCAGAACTAGGAACAGCGGCCTCAAGCTTCACCAAGGGAATTTTAGACTGTAGATTAGGAGGGACTTTTTGACTGTAAGGGTGATCAAGCATTGGAACAGACTACCTAGAGAACTTGTGGAATCTCCATCCCTGGAAACTTTCAAGGGCAGGTTGGATGGACACTTCGCTGGGATGTTTTAGACAGGGAAGATCTCCCTTGATTAGGGGGCTGGACTTGAAGACCTTGTGAGGTTCTTT